TTCAATACTGTCTGTGGAATCTAATAATGGGGAATTGGGGATATTTAGTACAGTAATATTTTGCCATTGTGTTAGTCGAAAATAGATTAGATACATGCTTTTGAAAAGCCATGGCAATGACAAACAGACCTAAGCATAAGATTTGTCCTAAAGTAATTGTTAGGTGTGCTTCACATAATGAATACTTCTAGTTTGTTAGTTCATATCATATCATGGCTATGAAATCAGTTCTTCGTTGTGATTTATAATGGTTTGCTTACAATCCTATTCACTGTAAGAGAACTGAATGTTGTTTTCAACTTGTTAATAAAAGAATGATAATAAATATCAAATTGTATATTGAAATAACTGCATTTGAAGTGTGCATTTTTACATTCAAGATCAATCTAAGTCTTGAGGTGACTAGTTTTATAACCAGCCATCAATATCGTGCCTTCATTTTTTATGGTTTCGAACTGCCTCCTGATCTATGCTTTTCTATTGCAGTATGGTTCTTAATCTGAGGAGTGAGACTGCCAAGTCTTACGATATTTCTCAACACCTCCATGAAATTCATGAATCTGTCAGACTTGCATTTCTAAATTCTTTTCTGGATTTTGCTGGTATGGATTTTCTTTGTAACGTAACTACTGAAGGTCTTACAAATTTTGTATCTAATTGTTGCATCATCCATTATTGACAAGCTGTGTTAGTGCATCAGGTTATCTGGAGAGGTTTGGAGGGGAACTAGCTCAGAACAGATCAAATAAAGAAAACAACCATACCCAAAATGGATATGTAAATGGTACTAACAGTGAAACATCTGCTGGCATGGATGGGGACTTGTACAAGAAGCTGTTGGTTGTTCTGAGTAACATTGGATATTGTAAAGCTGAACTTTCAGATGAACTGTATACCAAATACAGGCACATTTGGTCCCCAGTCAGGTACCCGATCATCTTAGCTTATGTTCCACTAACATTGTCTTACTGTCCTTTATAATTTTTGGTGCGAGTCGTTATCCCTGAATAGATTGATTGAAAGCTTGTTATTTCATCTAAAAGCAATGCTTTGATACATTTGCTTCACTCAGTTAGTGTTCCTCTCTCAGGGATAATGATGAGCGTAGTGCTGACATGCGAGATCTGATGACTTCTTTCTCAGCACTTGAGGAGAAAGTCCTGGAACAGTATACATTTGCAAAGGTATGGTAGAAAATCCAGAATTGTTGATTAATCATTATTGGCCAAAAGATTTAGTTATAACCATGTTAGCTTTAATCCTTTCGTGTCTTGGTGTGCAAAGTTACAAGTTTGAAACACCTGATTTAGCCCACTATTTGTTCTTCAGTAGTGGTATGCCCAAAAAGGCCTTAATGGAAGTAATGATCACTTCTTTTTCTGAAGTTGTTCTATGGGAATATCTGCGTAGACATGCACATGCCTCTATGCGTCTACTGGTTGATCTGATGTGAATCAAATGAAGCATTTAACTTATTGCATGTTTATTCAAGATCCGTTGCAATATGTAGTCCTAAATAACTAATAGCTAGATCAAAATGTGCATAGTTCTATTTTCTGTGACTGAAGCATTTTATTATTGATACCCTAGTTAATGTGCTAGTTTTGGATTTATTACTACCTCCATATTTTAATGTATGACGGCGTTGACTTTTTGACCAACGTTTGACCATTCATCTTATTCAAAAAATTTATGTAATTATCATTTATTTTATTATGACTTCATTCGTCATCAAATGTTCTTTAAGCATGACATAAATATTTTCATATTTGCACAAAATTTTTGAATAAAACGAATGGTCAAACGGTGGTTGAAAAGTCAACGGCATCATACATTAAAATACGGAGGGAGTACTAGTTATTACTCTGGAATATGTCAGATGTTTGTCCACTTCATAGATTATTATATTGTTTGATGACTAGGATAACTTTAATTCAAAATTGTTTGGAATGCCTACAGTGGAAGTTCATATATCATGCTTGATAGTAGCATGATTTTTGGGGCTATAAATTCGGAGTCTATGCACATTTTGCTATCTTCCTTTGCTTTGCCCTAATTTTTGTTTTGTAGTCGAACTTGATCAGAAATGCTGCACGAAACTATCTGTTGGATTATGGGATTCACTGGGGAGCAGCACCAGCAGTAAAGGTATGTAGCATAATTAAGATAATCGTACTGATGTTAACGCTTCCAAATGTGTACCACTAAAAAAAAACTGGAAACAACCAATAGTATACTACTGATGGATAGTCTGTAACTTTGTATATGCAGTTCAGTTGCATGTACTATATTATTTGCTGCAAGAAAATTATCATAATATTTTGTGCCTGCATTGCTATGTGCTGGCCATGGCTAGTAGTTGTGTGCGCATATTAATGGTAGCCTCATATAACAGTTGTACGACTGCCTTTGTTATCTTACATGAAATTAACATCTTGATAATGCTCTTGTGGCATTTACATTCTATTACAAATTATTCTTCTCGCAGGGCATTCGAGATGCAGCTCTTGATTTACTGCACATCCTTGTAGCTGTACACGCAGAGGTTTCCATTTCTACATTTCCCCTGATTATTAAAATTGTGCATCTCTCCTTCGCACTGGATGTACATCAATTACTGATAAATCATAAATTTACTTCAATTGCTCTTTACATACTTTCTTCTTTGATGGAATACTGTATCTGTGGTTTCAGGTCTACTCCGGTGCTAGGCCTCTGCTGGAAAAGGCGATGACAATTTTGGTAGAGGGTTTGATTGATATCTTCCTCAGTATTTTCCATGAGAATAAGACCAAAGAACTCAGAATGTTGGACGCAAATGGTTTTTGTCAGCTCATGCTTGAGGTACTAATTTTGTTTCTTTTAGCTTCAACTGCATTAGCCTCTTCAGAGTCTTAAGTTGTGTAAACGATTCAATTATGAACTTAAAGAACTGTTCTGTTTGTTTTACGGGTGCAGCTTGAGTATTTTGAGACTATATTACGGACATACTTATCAACTGAGGCAGAGCAGGCTTTGAGATCCTTACAAGAGAATTTATTGGAGAAGGCCTGCGAAAGTGTGACTGAAGCCTTGGAGAATCCTGGACACCACCGTCGACCAACTCGTGGCAGTGAGGATGCTGCATCAGATGATAGACAATCAGTATCACCTGATGATCTGCTTGTAAGTTCTAAAAGATGTAGAACATATGGATTAATTCTTGCATCAGTGACAACTGAATAACACTTCCAGTAGGTTCTGTTGCATTAAATCTGCCAAATATACATCCCGTTTGCGTTAGGCATCTATATTCTCATTGCCCTGGATTTTGAATTTTGGAAAACACTAAGTCAGGACTTCTGGTGCTTTCATCATCTAATTATGGGAAGCTCTCTTTAGTGAAAGTTTCATCCTGTTCTGATTTTGCAAGGGAGCATGGCTAACCAGGAACTATTTATTTTTTATTTTTCCCAGGCACTTGCTCAGCAATGCAGTAGCGATTTGCTTCAAGGGGAGCTGGAGAAAACCCGGTTAAATATTGCGTGCTTTATGGAGTCAACTCTTCAATCAACGCCTGCACCGGCTGGATCAAAACCTGCTGCTTATCAGTCATACAAGGCACCTGCGACACACCAACCAGTTCAAGTGTCCTCCCCAAGTTTTAGAAGGCAGCAGACAAGTACAAATTCACCTGCAGCCTCGAGGCGGCGTCGATGAAGAAAATGCATCATGTTGAGAGAACCATTCCTTCATCTACGTGCCTCTTCCCTAAATTCTCCTCTTTCTTTGTTCATCTTTCCCATGCTTTCGTTTGTTACCTGTAATTAGTATCATGTTGTCATGTATTATGAATTTTGACCCATTCTTTTGGTGTTGTAAGATAAAAGGGGTGTACAGGGGTTGCTGTACGGGGCTATCTACTTGTATAATTTCCATGAGCCTGGAATTATTGTCGCCATTTTTTCTAAAGACACCATCTCAACTTAACTTTCTGGAACTGAGTGTCAGATTTGTCGGTGGCTGACGAACTCATTAGTCATTACCACCATTGGACCTCACTCTTCCGATTTTCTATGCGGACTTAAATGTGTCTTGTACCAGGCTGAAACGATAGTTGGAGCACGCGATCGATCTTATTTGATTCGTGGATCTGAATACCTTTCTTTAGTCTAATGTAACATGTTTTTTTCTTCCTTCTCGATCGATCATTTTGCTGTTTATACGACTAAACGTGGAAGCCCCCCATCCCCCTTTGTTTTGTTGATTAGTTCTTTTTGTTTGAATCAAATTATTACATTCTTGATCGATAATGATCTCTTCCTCTTATCCTGCTGTCAAAATTCCTGAACTCCTGCACGCACCACGCACTACACGATTACATTATCCACAAAACCACCTTGCATTACACCCCCAGTTGTTATATGTACCCAAAGATTCGGCCATTGCATCCATGTTCTCCATGCATGGCTGCACCTGAACTTGTCCTGCACTCCTGCTGCTCCACCATCGCTCGCACGTGCCCCAGGATCAATGAGCCTCTCGTGGCCCTTTTTCTTTTCTTTTTTAAAATTCCCCTCCTCCAGCTGTGTCCGGTGGTGTCTCATCTCTCATGTGCCGGTTGATAGATACTCGGGCTTTGTTTAGTTCTCAAAATTTGTTTTCCAAAAACATTACATCAAAATCTTTGGACACATGCATAGCATTAAATATAATAAAATAAAAAATTAGTTGCACAGTTTCTATGAAAATCGCGAGACGAATCTTCTGAGCCTAATTAGTCCATGATTAGGCATAAGTGCTACAGTAACCCACATGTGCTAATAACGGATTAATTAGACTTAATAAATTCGTCTCGCAGTTTCCAGGAAAGTCATGAAATTAGTTTTTTCATTCATGTCCGAAAACTCCTTTCGACATCTGGTCAAACATCCGATGTGACATCTAAAATTTTTTTTCGTGAACTAAACAAGGCCAACAAGGCATCAGACTATAAATAGGTGATACCCTGTGCTTGTACTACTGTCTACTGCTCCCTCCCTCCATCCCTTGCTCGCTCGCGCCACAACGTTATCCTCTCCTCGTAGATGTGGCCACAGTTTTTGCAGCCGGAACGAGCTGTCCAGGCTACTACTCCTACTAGCCATCTCCCACCCACTTATCACGAGGCTAACCCGCATGGGCGCGCGCCAAGGAGGCGGGAGGAGTAGCACACCGCCACCATCACCAGCAGCAGCATGGTGCAGCTGAGCCGCCGCCGGCACCGCGAGCACGCTCCATAGCCCTCTGCCATGGCGGCAGCTTCCGTCCTCCTCCTCCTCCCTTCCCCCTTCCTCCGTCCGTCGTCCCCGGCGCACCGCGCGCGCTGCGGCATTGCCACCACGACGACGACGAGCACGAGCGGGAGGAGGGGGCTCTTCCTCTTCGCCTCGCGCTGCCGCCCCGGCCCACGGCGACGCGCGGCGTCGGCGGCGGTGCCTCCCGAGCACGGCTTGTCCCAGCCCCAGCCACAGGCGCGGGCGGTGGGCTCGTACGAGGCCGCCCTCGGCGACGCCAAGGACGCGCTCTACGCCGCTCTGGAAGGTTCCATCTCTCTCTCTCTCTCTCTCGCGCGCGCCTGTTGCTGCTGCCTGCTGCTGATTGTCAACTGTAGCAGCGTCGCTGTTCGATCGATTCGCTGGCAGCCTATTGATTAATTTTATTTTTTTGCCTGTTTGATGCTTTGGAGGAAAGGCATGAACAGAGGGATATTCGGGATGACCTCCGAGAAAAGGTCGGAGATTCACGCACTGGTGGAGCTCCTCGAGTCCAAGAACCCAACGCCGGAGCCAACCGACAAGCTGCAGGACAAGGTATTACTACATACATGCCACTTTCCACCAATGCGCTTATGCTACTACTAATCAATTCGAGCGTTAATTTGGAAGTCTGATCACCTGATATTGATCAGGATTTTCTTTACCTTTTGAGTTTATGATGAGCAGGGATTGTTGTTAGAATCTAGGTGGAAATAGGTGTGTACTAGTTTAAGATAAACAAATGTAGTATGAAATTGCCTCTTTGGTAATGTTACTGATAGTTTGGTGTTGAGACGATGGAAGGTGGATGGATGCTGGAGGCTCGTCTATAGCACGATTTCGATACTGGGGAAGAAGAGGACAAAGTTGGGACTGAGAGATTTCATCAGCTTAGGAGATTTCTTCCAGATGATTGATGTCAAAGAGGTTAGTGAAATTTACCGAGAAATGTTGTCAAGCCAAATTGGTAACGTTGGTGCTGTGCTTGTTTGCTGTATGGCTTGTTCTATGTTTATGCCTGAATTTACAAGTTTTTCATCGGTGTATTTCTCCTATGTTGTATAGAGTTTGATTGAGTAGAATTTGACTTCAGTACTCTTCAATTCTTGGACAATACCAAAATGATCAAAACTTATGTTGGCTAATGGCTACCGCAACGGAAGTACATGACAAATGCTCTGTTTCCTAAAAAGACAAAGTACATGCTTTTGTGCTATAAGCCTATTAACTATGAAGTAAATGTTATTGAAAAAGAACAGTGAATATTGTTACATGATTTTTATACTGGCAAACCAAGTCAGTTTTGATTTTTGATATATCTTGAAATAAATGGAGATTTAGCATCACCTTCTCTACACCCAAAGGAAAAGGCGGTAAATGTGATAAAATTCAGTGCAAGGGCGTTGAAGATATTATCTGGCCAACTTACTATTGAAGCTTCGTACAAGATAACTACTAAAACAGTAAGGATTCTATCTGCTTCTCATCATTGGTTACGTCGTCCTAGAAATTTTTGGAACCTGACCACTTAAATTCTGAAGCACATTATTCTTTTATCCAATTTTTGTTTTCAGAAGGTTGATATCACGCTTGATAGTTCGACCATCACTCCTGATCAGGTATAATTCATGATATTTTCACTTAGAAACTAGCTTCATATACATAAGCAGTACTTCAATACTATTGGAAGGGTAGAGTTATGAGTCAAAACTTTTGTAACAAATCTTTTTACAAATAACCTTGAGCAGAGGCACATTGTTTTCCTTCACAGGATGCATGTGCAACTGTGTGTGATGTCTATTTTCTTCTATGGACATAAGTAACCATTTTAATTACACCATGTAAAGCAACTGTAATTTTCTCTGATGTTCACTTTGACTGTCATGTGCAGCTGATGAATATTTTCCAGAAGAACTATGATATGCTCCTTGCTATATTCAACCCAGAAGGCTGGCTAGAGATAACGTATCCTTTTCGGCTTATGTGAAACTGTTTTGTTCTTCGCTGTTTTTCTAATTTTACAATCTCTGCTACAAATCACTAGTTTCCCTACGCTACATTTTTTCTTTCCAGAAGTGGTGTGGATGCTTTTAACACCAATAATTTCGGGTAGCACATGTATAGCAGCAGAGTAACCCAATTTGCATCCAGATTCCAGAGTTCTCCTCAACATTTTGGTCAGATACGTTGATGAATCTCTACGGATAGGAAGAGATGACAAGGCAAACATCTTTGTGCTGGAGAGGGCAGACCCCTCAGAAGTTTGACAAGATTTATCTGAAGCAAAATGCCTGCATATACATGGACATTCCGGCAAAGATGCCTTTGCACATACCCGTCCTGTAACACGGTGGTTTTTAACAGCCAGTGCAGATCGTGTGCTCAACTTTCCATTTGCGTTAGATTATACTACTGCTATTTTTTTTTCTTTCTGGAGCAAAAGGCATTTCCCTTTGCGACAAAATCATGCAAGCTGGGAAAGCTCATGCAAGTTCAGTTACACTACATAGAGAATTGGTACATTAAGAACTGGTGTACTTTTGAATTTTGAAATACACCATTTTCAATTATTCATCCTTGTAAGACATAATCTAATGAGTGTACAGCTTGGCAAATGGCAATACCCTTTAGACAAAGTTGTTGTTGTTGTTTTTTTTTTTAAATGATCGCTGGGTGATCCCTTATATCAGCTCTTTGTTCCTGCCACGCCATGCGTCATGTAATAATAACTGGGCGGAAAGAAATTCTTGCGTTATGTCATTTTGGTGGAGCTTTGCACCTTTCAACAAGGACATCTCTCTTCGAGTCTTTGCCTCGGGTAGAGACTGGAAATGCCGGAAAATATTTTAAGCCCTTGATGTTGCATATTCTCATTTTTTATACAGTCACGTGGAGCATTCAAAGTCAAACTGAACATCACATGGAGAAAAAGCAACATATCAAACTACACAAAGTGATATAACACTGAATTTGTTATTTTTGTTTTTCCATGTTTGTGAAGGGATATGTAGCACAACTCGTTTATGTTTGTCCATTTTTTTTTATAAAAAGTTTCATAACTATTTGTACTATGTGCAACAAACATTTTAAAATAAGGTATGCGATAAATATACTTCCGTAAGAAAGCATCTTTATCTACAGTCTAAAGGTGCATTAATATTCGATGGTCGAAAGAAGCTAGCATCAAGATTCTCTCTACCTATTATCTAAAGATGCATCATTTATATTTGACGGCTAAAAGAAATTATCATCAAGATTATCTCTATCTATTGTCTAAAGACGCATCATCATCTGTGATCATCAAAAGAAGCCATCATCAAGATTCCTGAAAAGGCCTATATAAAAATCCCAAGAGAAGCCAAGAGAAGTGAGGATCCACTTTTGGAAATGCTAGACTTTGTTTGCATTATATATAGAGTGACTCTAATCCATAGAGGAACGTGGAGAGCTCCTTGGAGGGGTGCACCTTCTTGCGCGTCGAGCCACCATCGTCCTTGTTGGCTCCCGCTCATCATCATCCAAATCTAGAGTCGGCCTCAAAGGCACCGTGCAATAGTGGCATGGCATCATAACCATCGGGAAGAGGTGGCGAGACGAGGTGGCAATTCGTTGGGCGCAAGACCGATGACCTCCCTCAACTGCCACCAAGCGAAACAACAGGTCGTGGGAGCCCTGGGCGGTAGAAGCAGTAACAGGTTGTGCGGGTGGAGACCGGTTGAGGCCACATCTATCTTGCCTCCACTGAGTGCGGTAAGCTTCACAACATTCCCTATTCACCGCTTCCGTGGGCACTTCTCGAGCCGCCGCCGTCGTTGCCATTCATCCATGCTACCAAGCTTCGAGGATGTTGCCTCCATAATTGGATCCATGGTGCCGAGCTTCAGGCTATTGCCACCACCGAGGATTCACGCCAAGCTCCTTGGCCGCCATCACCACAAGCCGGGTCGCGCTGTCCGCTCCTCCTCCACCACCGTTGACAACCACAACACCATCCTCTCCGGCCACCCACCTCTACCGCCGCATTCACTGGATTTTTCACATTTTGATCCTTTTGAAAAACTTATTTCGCAAATAGACCTCTGAAAAAACTTATCCCAGAAATGGTCCTTTTTGGGGCGCCAGAGTGGCTGGCGCCGTCATCCAACGGGACGGCGCCAGCTGCTCTGGCGCCGTCCTCCTGCCACCGTGGCGCACGCGAACCGATGTGGCAGGAGGAGGGCGCCAGCCATGCTGGCGCCGCCCCAGCCTAGTGCCGCCGCCTCCATTCCTGTTTCTCTGTATGGAGTTGCAACGGTGTCATTTTTATTTTATTTTTTCGGATGTTTTTTCACACTCAGGATCACGATACAACCAACCATAAAAAAAATTTAAACTCGAACTACCACTTAGCTAAGTCTGAAAATATCTAGCATACCACTTAGTCTACTTTGCACCTTCACTAAAATTAGACCATAACTCCTTTAGTAAAACCCTTTGATCAGCATGTTAAACATAATGCACTCTACCACTATATGAAATTACTTAATCTAATTCAAAATATAACCATATTCAAAATATAACCATATGAAATGACATATATAAGTTAAACAGTACATAGAGATGCAATTTTTTTATTTTTATTTCATTTTTTGATATTTTTTTTCATACTTAGGAGAACATAGGAACCAACCGTATAAAAAATAAACTCAAACGGACAAAATATGTGACATGTAGAATTTTCCAAAACTCTACCGAAACGAACAAAATATGCCATCTATTAAAATAGGCGTAACTTTCTCATACGGACTCGGAATCAGGCAAATAATATATGCACGGACATCTACAGAAAAAGTTACATCCAATTCTCCCCCGCTTTGCCGGGTTCGGCGATATTAAAACCTCCAAATTCCGCTTGCAAGATTGTGTTTTTGAGGAGAGAAGTTTTTCGGTGGAGCTTTGGAAAATTCCATATGCCACATATTTCGTCCGTTTGAGTTTATTTTTTACGTGGTTGGTTCCTGTGAGTTCCTAAGTGTGAAAAAAATATCAAAAAAGTAAAATAAAAATAAAAAAGTTGCACATCTCTCTCCTCTGCACTAGTTCGGAGAGAGGAGAGGAGAGGAAAAATTCTACATGTCACATATTACGTCCATTTGAGTTCAATTTTTCTATGGTTGGTTCTTGTATGTCCCTAAGCGTGAAAAAAATATCAAACAAATAAAACAAAAATAAAAAAATTCGGGGGGGGGGGGGGCGCCAGCCACTCTGGCGCACTCCCCCTAGCCACCTCAGCATCACCCCGCCACGTCGGTGGTGGGACGGCGCCAGCCTCTTTGGCGCCGTCCTGTTGAACGACGGCGCCAGCCACTCTGGCGCCCCAAAAAGGACCATTTTTGGGATAAGTTTTTCTAGGGATCTACTTGCGAAATAAGTTTTTCAAAAGGACCAAAATGTGAAAAATCCAGCCGCATTCATGCAGACGGCTGGCGAGTTCGAGCTCGCCGGGTCTCTTGCCACCCTCCTCTTCTTCTCCGCTGCCACGAACCACCAGAGCCCCTCGTCGTCAACCTCCCAGTCTCCCACTGTCACTGCTGCCTCCAGCGGACGGGCTCGCCAGCCACCGCCCCTTTCCCTGCCAGCTAGCTCCCGGGGAAGAGAGGGGATAAGTGGAAGTCCACTTACATGTGGCCCCTACATGTATTTTTTTTCTAACTAGAATGCCACGTCAGCAAAAACGACCATCCATACTGTCTTACACCGTTATTCAACCCAGTTTTGCAAAACATCAGGGTTCGAAATTTCTAGTATCGCGGTTTGAGGATACGATTCAAAACGTTAACATGAGGGACCTAAAGGGAACTTATTCTTCCCCGACAATTATACCGGCTCTCATGGGCCTACATGAGTCGCCAGGTGGTGTAGTTGGGCCTGCATTGAGTGGTTGAGCCGCGAAAGGAAGCCCATACCAATGGTAGCGCGCGAACCAATTATACGGGCTTTGTTGGGCCTGCAATAGCGGAATTAATCCAGCTCAGTGACGTCTCTTTCTTCTCCGGGATTGATCGCCGGCAAATTAAACCTCGATCTAGCGGTGAGCTAGCGCCATGGGGCATGATAATGGTCGCAGAGGTGAAGTCAAAATGGGTGTGCCTCTCATTCAACGATCAACTTCAGATCTAGACTCAACCAAACCCCTTAATTTGAAGCCACATAGCATGCAAAACAAGAGATCAGTATTAGGAGGCACATACGCGTGGCGTGATCTAGCAAAGTGTGTTGATCTCTCTTGTTCTCTTTGTGAAGCAAGGGCATATGAGTGCCTCTGCTGCCCACGCTTAGTTCTCTCAAAATAAACCGTCGCAAGTTTTTTTCTAAAAGCTTTGAAATGTACCTATAATATAATTTTAGTTCAACTACAATATAATTGTACTATGGTGGTGTTTGAATCTCCTGAAGATGAAGATGAAGATTAAGTGTTTCACGTAAAACGAGGTGGTAATAATGTGTGATTAATTAAGTTTTAATTATTACAAACTTGAAAAACGGATTGATTTGATAGTTTAGAACAACTTTCATATAGAAAGTTTTTGCACGAAACGTACCGTTTAGCAGTTTGAAAAGCGTGCCACGAGTATCCAAAATTTAATCCAAAAGTTGTTGGAGAAAAGAACATGGCCTATATATAACTATACCATAACCTCTAAATAATTTATGTATGAAGTTACAGGTATTTTTTTTTGATACTTGTATATAAATTAGATAAAAGTTATTTATAATGTGATTATAATATAGTTATATAGTGTAATTACAGTACAATTACATTATAATTATATTGAATTTTTTTAATAAAAAACTCGTATAGTCCCTAAATAAATCGTCGAGGGTTGTCAAAAACACACTTAAATCTTTCTTGTTTAATCAGTGATGGAGCCAGAAAGTTTTTTAAACTAGTATTTGCTTATTTGCTATAGAAATTTTATCATCAATTTACTGTAAATATATTGAAATTTAATGAAGTTTTCGTCGGTGAGCCTGGGCGGTGGCTCCGCCGCTGTGTTTAATAAAGAACGATGTGCAACAAAATCTCATATAACCATGGATATTCGGATGACAAAAACCGGGCCGAAGAGTAGTCATATTCATCCGTCCACGATCGATCCATTCGATCGATCTTTCGTTTTTGGTGTCTTTGCTATTATCTAGCGGTGACCGCGATCTTCATCATGCCCTTGTCGCAGTCGCCCGGGAAGCCGGAGACGAAGAAGGTGACGCCGGGGGGCAGCGCGACGCGGTCGTCGCCGGAGCCGTACGCCGTCGCGTTGGCCGGCGCCCTGCACAGCGCGTAGTCCACGTCGCCCACCACCACCACGTTGTGCGCGCTCGCGTCGTAGCTGAACACTGCGTTTTACACGCACGCCGCCCGCCGCCGCCGCCGCCGCGGGCGCCATTAGCACCGGCCATGACGGATCAGTTTCAGTAAAAAGAAGAAGAAGAAGAAGAAGAAGAAGAAGAAGAAGACAGATGAAGCAAGCAGAGGGAGAGCAAGCTAAGCTAGCTAGACATGGATGGAGCAATTAGCTACCGAGCACGTCGCCCGCCTTGAAGGGCTTGTAGTTGGGCCACCCGACGACGCCGGGGCTCCAGCCGGCACCGTCGCCGACGGGCCACTCCCTCCGCGCCGCCGCCGGTTCGACGCCGCATTGCAGCGCCAGGATGACAAGGAGCAGGAGCAGGCCGAGGTGAACGGAGCAGATGGCCTTATCGCCGCCGCGGCCGCCGCGTGCCAGCGCCATTGGAGCAGGAGTAGTCTCGAGCGAAGAACGCGGAAGAGCTTAAGGCTATAGGCCTCGGTAAAAGTCCTTGGGTCAAAGGCTCTCCTTTTGTGGCAACAACAGGCCTCCTACCATTCTTGCTCTCTCCATTTTATAATATAAGATATAATTTTTTTCTAGATATTTTATAATATAAAACGTCCATACATACTATATAGAATTAGCTAGCACATCCTCCTTATTGAAATATAATTAACTAGTACATTCTCTAATTTTATTGGGTACATATATTGTATTTATTAGAGTGATTTAAGCTAGGAGGTGATAGTAATTGTTTTTTAATGTTTGGATTAAGGATAATTATACACTATATTTTGAAACGGAGGGATAATAATTTAAACTCTTAGGCAAAACAAGGGATAAGTGTTAGCAGGTATTAATTCTTGGCTTCTTGCCTTTGTGATTGCTCATTGCTCATCATCAACACCGGGTTCACATTCTCTACCATAATGATACTATCATTATAGATACTAACGTGTGGGACAATAGAAGGGTAGAATCCATATGTCAATGATTGTAATGGTAGTACCACCACAAAAATGACTCTGGTCCTACTCTCATTCCAAGGCTTTCTTCGTGACGCTTCTAGCATGAGAGGAAAACCTGATATTCTTAGAGTGTCATTTATTTTAGAACAAATTTTGAATTTTAAGATTGTACTTATTTTGAGGTGGTGTGAGTATATATTTTGTAAACCAAACAACATTTCACATTGATTTGTGAATGTATTCAGAGCTTTAAATGCACAACGGTTTATACAAGAATTGTTGAAAAGTATTTTAATAGAATTCTTGATTTTTTAGTGCGTGGGTTCCATGTGCCCACTTACTAGTATATATGGAGTGCGTTCATTTCACTTCAAACTATATGTAAATATCATTCTCTTGATCCGTTACAACTTACAAGCATACAAAATTAATCATCTTGACCAACTTCCTTCCTAATTGGTCGAAATGCATATATATATATAGGGCAGGAAATCTTTTTTCTGCCGTGAGGACTAATTTCACTACTTGATGCATATGAATTCATTTTTTCTTTTAATCCACGGTCGAGTGCGACGTCCTTCACCGGCGAGCATGCGTTGCGTATAGCTTGTTAATTATTGTTACGACATTACTAGACAGTTTGCATCTGTACATTAGTGGTTTCTTGATCATCATGGCCGTGTTGTTGTTGCAGCACAGGCACAGCTTCCTTGGCTGGATGAGATGATGATGATGATGGTGATGCCTCCTTACTCTTTCCCCAGAGAACGAAATACAGGCCCATGATAACCAAAGCAGAACCTATCACACTGCACATATATAGCTAGTGTCAAATAAAACATGATCAATATGATGACAATAGTAATTACTCACTCCATTTCAGATTATAAGTCGTTTTAACTTTGTAATATTACTCTATTTATCTAAAACTTGGTCAAACTTTAAATAGTTTGACTTTAACAAAAGTCAAAACGACTTGTAATCTGAAACGGAGGGAGTAATTAAACATGACAAATACACATAACTATAACGTACTAACTCCGTTTTAAAATATAATGATTTTTAGAATTCAAATTTTATACCATAATATAAGGATTCGATCATACACTTATTGTCATGATTCCAAAGCCAATCACATGCTTGCAAAGGGAATATAAGTAATTCAAAATTTAAGAATTGACAACTGAAATGACTAAAAGAGAATTTTAAACAAGCTAAAAAAATATTATATTTTTAAAACGGAGAGAGTACTTACGTTCCAAGGTGAAGTTGCTCACGGAGAACGATGACGTTGATAGCAGCTGCAATGATCTGGATTAGAGGCGTGAATGCAGTCGTGAACACCGGCCCTCTCTGCTCCACACACCATGACATTGCCAAGAACCCTATTCCTGACCCAACTATCCCCTGCATATATAGATATCAATTCATCCATCCATCAGTTGCAATTAATTAATAACAATTGTTCTAATTAATTAATTAAGGTATGGTACGTTAAAACGCACTAAGAATGCGCAATAACTAAAACATGCTCCTTACATAGTAAAATTTTTACTGCGAGTTATATCGTTCTCAGATATCATATTCTTCCTCCGTTTAAGGTTATAAGTCGTTTTGACTTTGGTCAAAGTCAAATTGCTTCAAGTTTGACCAAGTTTGTAGAAAAAAATAGTATCAACCCGAGACAAATTTATTTTGAAAATATATTTAATTAACTAATTTGGTATTGTAAATATTACTATATTTGCGTATAAACTTAGTCAAACTTGAAGTAGTTTGACTTTGACCAAAATCAAAACAATTTATAATATGAAACGGATGGAGTAGTAAACATTTTACTACTAGGCTCAATAAGAGTATCCGACAAATTTGACTACTAAGCTCAATAAGAGTATCCGACAAATTTGACTACTAAGCTCAATAAGAGTATGACAATGATTGCTCTCGCAGTTAAAATTATACAATGTTAAGTTTGTTTTAGCTATATTGCAATATAGGTGTAGTATAGCACGGAGTATATCTATAGTCACGTACCACAAAGAGCACGGTGATGATCTGAAGCTTGGTCCTTAAGATCCATGGGGGCAAGCTAACCCTGTCGATGGCCAAGGCGACCACGGCCATCTGGAGGAAGCTGAGGAAGAACATCAGGGCCGTCCCCGAGTAGAGAGCCGGGTACTTCCTGGCGATCCTCGACTGCAGGATGAACCACAGCGACCAGCAGGCCGACCCACCCAGCAACGCCACCGACCCGATCGCCCATCTGTGCGCGCCGCCGACATGACCGGCGGCGATCACCGCCGCCGATGCCATCGGAGAGGAAGAAGATGATGATGAAGAAGATGAAGATGATAGCTTGGTGAGCGATGGGCCCTGGTAGAGAGCAAGGACCATTGCTCCGCTGAATCCTAACACCGTGCCTCCCACTTTAGCTATGCCAGCTATGTTCAGGTTAACTTTCTCCAGCCTGCACATATTTCAATCTTAAATTTGATTAGAAATTTTAAGTATCTCAAGATATTTAAATTTTACACTATTTTTTTTATCTCGGGATACTTAGTACCGAAGATACTAAAATCTAAGTAATTTTATCATTTTTGAAAAAAATATTAGAAAATAGCATATTTTCTAGTGTAAAATTTAATACATATACTTAAGCACCGTAAATTTTCTATCAAAATTTACACTAGAAAATTCGGTACCTATCGATACCTTCTCAAATATGGTAAAATTACCCTAATTTGTTCTTCTATACTCATTTCATATTTTCATGCATACCAATTAAAAAGTCCTGTTTTCCATGCAGATGTATGTATGTTTTGAGTTAGTTAATTATTATATATTCTAGCTAGGGGGAAATTAATGAATGAATGAATGAATTGTAATTACCCATAAGGCAGAGCTACAAGGAAGGTGAAGATGGGAGTCATGTTGATGAAGGCGCAGGCGAATGTTGCGGTGGTGTACTGCAGCCCCAGGAAGAAGAGCCACTGGGTAAGGGACGCTCTGCACGCAGGTACACATTTGATTTAATCAATTCATCATTTGTTAGTGCATATATATACACATATAATGATCTTTCATCACGTTAATTAAACTATCTATGTAGTGTATATATGAAAAATGACTTGCCCGAGCACCGCACTGAAGAAGAGATACACCAAGATTTCAGCTGTTAGCTTTGGTCTTGTCTTCCTGCATCCATTCCATGCAGCACAATATATATCAGTTAATTCCTTAAAACATACATCTATATGTTACTATATATACAGCTACAATATATACAATAACAATTGTCGCTAATTAATCTATCAATTGGCATGCTAATATATACTGATCGCGAATTGGTGAAGAACTGAATCGATCAGAAATTCAGAATGCAGATATGCTATATACCTCTCCCGGAAGTAGGCGATCGGGGCGAGGAAGAGGGTGGCGATGAGCTGACGAAGCGTGATGAGGACGGTGGCGTGCATCCCCTCGTTCAGGGCCATCTTGATGAGGGTGTTCATCACCGCGAACACCACCACAACCCCAACCATTGTCAATGTTGGCTTCCAACTATTGCAGCTACCCATATCGATTCAGGATCGATCGATCTCTATCTAGCTGATCAATGGCTAGCTAGCTACAAAGCTAATCTGAAATATGTGTGTTTGTGTGTATATATATATGTGGTTGTTAATTGCTTTGGCACTGCTAAGTATATTGGCATCAAGGATGCTGCAGGTGGCAAGAATTTATATGCATGCCTGCCCTGGCCTCCAAGTGATGACAATCTGACAATATTCCGTTCCTTGCTTAATTACATGTATCACGCGGTACGGGCGTATTTGCCCTTTGCTTTAATTAGGTGCACTCAAGAATGATGCCAATAAGGTATGGTACGAACAAATGTATTAGTTATTAATTAGCTTTACTTTAATTCCTACACCACTCAAGATGAACAATTTATAATTAATTATCACCTGCATGACCAAAATATTTTTTTTAAAAAAAGCTGAAGAATTTGTTCATCAACTTTATGCAAGCATTTTTTTTAAAAAAAAAGAGGAAAGAGAGGTTTGGATTCTTTGGCTAGCTTGGAAAAGGTACGCGTTAGATTACATATATAATTAACAAGGAGTAATGATCCTAATATATGTATGTGTCAAAGACACTGATGAGGAGAGATCTTCCAAATTAACACAGTTGTTAGTATATGCAAATTAATCCGGCCTGTTCTTAATTTTCTCCTGCCTTAGATCGATCATATCTATCTAATACTCTAGCAGTGGTTAATTTTGTCCTGCAGCTTTAATTTGATCACAGGGAGAGGGATGCTAGCTGTAGATATATATATTTATCAAAGGCCGACAGCATATGTACAGGGAGATTGAAAGGAAAAGAGATGCTTTCTTTGGTGCGTCATCCGTCGTTGGTCAGCAAGGTGACTTGAGGGGAAGGGAAAAAAAGAGTTAAAGGTCATATAGACTTAATAGTATATGCTCCAACAAGGAAAAGAATGATCGTTAAAAAAAGAAAAAAAATATGTACACCTCAAATTGACACAAATATATAGTCCCTCCGCTTCATATTATAAATCGTTTTGACCTTTTTCTAAGTCAAATTTTATAGAAAAAATTAGCACAATCTTAAACATCAAATAGATGTTTGTTTTGTGTTAAAAGTACTACTATATTTTTTTAAAAGTTTGATTAGGAAAATAATTAAACGACTTATAATATAAAACAAAAGGAAGTAGCAAACTATATAAATCAGATACCATGCATGCATATATAGCTGGGCCAGCTCTTTTCTCTTCAGGGCATCCAATGCTCCTCCATTGTTGAACAAGTATTGATCATTTAGAACATTCAATGCTCGCATGAAAGAATTGATGTGCCATTTTTTTTGCCAGATTGAACACATGGGCCGGCCGGGCGACCCCTAACAATTCTGTTTACGTTAGTCATCTTCATGGCATCTTAGACCGTTCTTCCCTCGATGTTCCCAACCTCACTACTCTCATTTTTTATGTGCTCTACCCAACTGCTAAAAGATACGTTTCTTTAACAAGTGTCTATACAAAAGTTTTATTTTTTTTCAAAAACATGCAAAAAGATCGCATGCCAATATATTAAAACGAGAGTTTAGTTACACACTGTATATAAAAGGTGCTATAATTTTTAAAATTTTTTAAAGCTAATACTTAATTATTCTTGTGATAATTCATCGATTTTTTTACATGCGAAGAGAAAGGGTTTTCAATGCCTCCAAAAGAACACGGTCTTTAAAGAAAGAGAAAATCCCCTATATACCTATGAAAGTTCACATAATCCCTTCTATACCCCTGAATTTTGCTCAATCCTTTATATACCCCTGAATTTTAGTTTGGATCCCTTTCATGCCCTTTCCGTTAGTTGACCGTTAAATTCTTTTGAAAAAGTCCATTTTGCCCTTTGCTATGAAGAAACATAATAAATTAATGAAGTATATTGTTGGAATGTAAAAATTTATTGGATGAGACTATTATATTTATGAGTATGTGATGCACCATATTATTTGTGACAAATTTAGTTTTACATATGATATAAAAAGTTGATACTTATTTATTAGTTATTAAAAGTTCTTTTATGTAGCATATGTGTTTTCAAAGTAATACAACAGATTTGTTTATTACTTCAGAACACATATGCTAAAAAAATCTTTTAATAACTAATAAATAATTATTAATTTTTTATATCATATCTAAAAGTATATTTATCGCAAATAATATGGTGCAAAACTATCTCATAAACATAATAGTCTCATATAACAAATTTCTATGCTCCAACAATATACTCTATTAATTTATATGCTTCTTTATACCAAAGGACAAAATGGACTTGTTCATAAGAATTTAACGGTCAACTAACGGTCAACTAGCGGAAAGGACATAGATTGGATCCAAACTAAAATTCAAGGGTATGTAAGGGATTGAGCAAAATTTAGAAATACAGAAGGAATTAGGTGAACTTTCAAGGATACATAGGGGATTTTCTCTTAGAGAAACCGAGTGTAATATTACTCTAATATTATTATTTTCTTCTGCTTGAATTCTTCCTTTTGCTGGCGAAAGGAACCGTGTGTCACACGCTGGCACTTCGTGTCGGCCATATATATTTAGCCTCACATGTGCAGCATTAGTGTGCATTAATATGCTGATTTGTATGCCCCTGTCATATGTAAGAGTATATGCTAACCGACCAGGCATCATATCAGAAACAGTAAATATTCAACCTTTACGTACGTGCGCTGAATAATTTCTCTGCTTTTGCTTGCTCTTTTTTTCTAGGAACAATACTGTTATGATGTTTCATTAATTAAGCAATATTAATAATATTCCTTCTTTTCTGAAAAAAAAGGTTGCACGTATATGAATGGAGGGGCCCTCGCATCATAATTTAAAGAAAATACCTCTGAAACTTCACCCAATCCCTCCCATGCTCCTGAGATTTACTTATTTCCTTCCATACCCCTAAATTTTAGTTTGGATCTCTTCTATACCCCTTTCATTAGTTGACCTTTAGTTGACCATTAAGTTTCTATCACAAAGTCCAATTTGCCCTTTGGTATCAAGAAAATATAAATTTATGAAGTATATTGATGAAGTGAATAAATTTATGGTATGCGAATATTTGCAATGTACGATCAGGGATATGAATCAAGGAATGACCAATATGCTCAATTTTCATACCTGCACCATTTGCAGTGTGGAAGTTCCCTTGTATTTCTCCTTAGTCGTCAGCTTGTCCAACTCACTTGTGAGATGGTCAGTTGCCCCAGTGTGTATATACCAATTGGTATCAACACCGTAGGCATACGCAGCAGCCGCCACATGCCTCTCATCCGGCACATAATTTGCATCAAACCTGTGCCAGCATTCAGCAGCAACATGGCCTCTTTTGTAGCATACCTGACACACGGGACGGGTATCAACACACTGCTGCTGGTTGCCACCTCGCCCTCGATTTGCTCGCATGTTGCCGCGGCCACGGCTACCACCATCACCGCGACCACGTCCTGAGTTGCTCCCGCCAGCAGCGCTGGTACTGCCACCACGGGGAGCAAAGTTGCTGCGGCCTCCACTGCCACGAAGTGCTGCATTTGCCGATCCTTGTTGCCTCAAGTGCAGCATGTTCTCAAAATTAAGTAGTTGTGCATATAATTCTGTCATGGAGATGGGTTCAACCCTCATCCCAAGAGCAGAAACAAAGGAATCATAATCGCCATCTAGGCCATTTACAATATATGCAATCATATCTTCCTCATCTAGAGGTTTCCCGGTAGATGCAATCTCATCACTATAAGCCTTCATCTTCCCAAAATATTCAGAGATTGTCATTGTACCTTTACTTGTAGTTTGGAGCGCCAGCCGCACATTCAATGTGCGAGCACGGGTCTGCGATCCGAACATATCACCGATCGCCTTCCATGCCAGCGCCGCAGACCTTGCTCCTGCCACTTGGTTGAGTATATCACGTGACAGGGAGGAGAGGAGGAAGCCAAGCACCTGCTGATCAGCTGCAAACCACTCCTCGAAGGCCGGATTATCCACCATTACTGTCTTCTCCCCCTTTTCGCCTTCCTTCCGCTCGATCTGAGCTGCCGGCGCCATGGTTTTGCCGGTGAGGTAGCCCTCCAGTCATGCCCCGCGAACGGCCGCCAGGATCTGTGCCGTCCAAATGGCATGATTTTGTTTGGTGAGCTTTTCAGAAACATGGACGCCGAAGAGAGGGTTGCCGGTGGAGGTGGAGGATGAAGAGGAAGCCATGACAATCTATGCCAATAGGCTCTGATACCATGAAAGAAAACTAATATGGAGTAACGTTATCGGTGCGGAGAAAATTGACATTTAGCCACTTTCAAGGATGGGTTTCGCTGTAATGCCATTCCGCCAACTTGCTTCGCTAAAATGCCATTCCCACGCTCGCGCAACACGCTGCTTCGCCGTTTTTCCAATTTCACCGGATTAACACACAAAATCAGGAGTGTTGTGACCAATGTGCCCTTGGGTCATTCTTTAGGTCAGTGAGAGAAAGGGGATCGAGATGCGTTGGCTCTTGCTCACGGCGGCGCCCTAGATCGATCTCGTCGGCATCGCCATTCCACCCGCCGCCGCAGTCACCTCTCGCCCTCACCCAGCTGTAGCTCACGGCGGCGCTGCCATCGCCATTCCACCCGCCGCCGCCGCCGCCGTCGCCGCCGTCGCAGTCCCAATCTCGCGCTCACCAATACTTCAATCAAATTTATCAGCTTATCAATCTTTCCATCATCAACTGAACTCCACTTCATCTCTATAGAACCATCAACCACTGCAACATCACTTGGACCTTCATCAACAACATGCTCACTCATTCCTTCAACCATCTTCCTATAACTTTCGATCCACTTGAAAAACTTGCAACAATTTGGCACCTATACATACATCAGTACAAAATTAGCCCCAATAACCAAAAGCAAGCAAATGCAACAAATTCAACCACTCACATCTTGTTCGTTTTCCTCGCATTTGAAGAAAACCTTTCCACCATGCCTCATCGATCTGCACTCTACTACTGCAGCGCCACACCTAGGGCAACGAATGAGAGGAAGGCCGCTAGATCCTACGGGTAGCCGAGCAGGAAAGGAGCTACCTTGCGACATCCCGAAATCCTCGCTTCCAGCTGCATACCTTCGCTGCATAGCCCCCCTAGGGTTAGGGTTTCCTCTCATCTCCGCAAATCAGCGCCGGCGAAAGTGGCACAGCGGCGGTGGAGCAAAGCGGCACAGCGGCGGCGGCAGATAAGAGCGGCACGGCGGCGGCGGCGAAGTAGAGCGGCAGCGTTGTGGCGGAGTAGAGTGGCGGCGGCGGAGCAAAGCGGCACAGCGCGGCGGCGGAGTAGATCGGCAGAGCGGCGACGGTGTAGAGCGGCAGCGTGGCGGCGCTTGCTGCTTCATTTGGCACAAAAGGACCCCCAGGGGCAATTTGGTCAGCAGACAACTCACTTACGGGATTAATCCAGTGAAATTGGAAAAACGGCGAAGCAGCGTGTTGCGCGAGCGTGGGAATGGCATTTTAGCGAAGCAAGTTGGCGGAATGGCATTACAGCGAAACCCGTCCTTGAAAGTGGCTAAATGTCAATTTTCTCGTCGGTGCGACGGTTCGTGTTAATTGTATCGTAGCAAAACGGCGAGGAGGAGAAGTACATATATGTATGCGTCAGAGATTGGTTAGCCGGGATCCTATTTACATGTAATCAAAACAACCTTAGCTAAACTACCGGCCACCTAATCTCCAACTCATATGGTTTACAATGGATAAGCACATACTCTAACAGGCGGTAGCCATGAACGCCAGCCCTACACAAGAACGCTCTGAGCAAAACACAAGAACACAAATAAAAAAGACTACAAGAATATGGATTCTAATCTCTTGGTGGACGTCCACCCGTTTTTTCGTGTCAACTAAATGGTTATGAATTTTTTTAAAAAAAATTAACAAGATAGATTAATATGTAATATATCACTTTACAAATATGTAAGTTCATATTTGACTTCTACAAGTTGTAACAAAAAACTTTTTTTTAAGTTGTAACAAATATGTTACAAGAAACGGGTGGACGTTCACCCAAGTGTTTAAAACAGTTTCCCCATCTTGCTATAATACTTCACAATCGGTGATAATCCTTGTTCTTGTTGATGCTTCTAGTTTTGCAATCACCAACAATTTTTTTTTTGTTCTGGTCCACTGTCCTCACAAGTTCAGCTGCTAGAGAGGCCGGTCAGTCATTTTGGTAATTTTAGGCAGGAAACAACTGCATAACCAGCATTGGAATCCATCAACACATTGGTGATTTTGGTAATTTTAGGCAGGAAACAACTGCATAACCAGCATTGGAATCCATCAACACATTGGTGATCTAGTACACTCTGTTGACACACCATGCATCCAATCAAAGTGATGAGTATATCTGTGTTCCTTCCTTTACAATATTGCTTGCACTGGATCTTTCACAGCCACAGGAGCCATCTGTTTCTGCAGAACCAGATCGAAGGGGACAAAAAACTATCTGAATTTCCAGCTCAATCCACAGATCCTAGAAAACAGACGGCCAAATAAAACTGAACACCATTTGTCAGCATTTTGGTAAAGGCTCTGAACTTTTCAGGTGTAATGCAATTCATGGAAAGGAAACCAGAAAATGTCCGTAGTTTTGAGTGAAGCGAGGAGGAAGGAACAGAGATGTGAAGAACACTCCACCGACAATCTGTGTACATTTTCCATTCGGGTGCCAATATATACAGAACTCCTCCATTGATCATCTTGCTGGTGGCTTAATTAATATACGCAAGCACGATCAATGCCTCCTGTCAACGCGGGCACGGCGGCGCCGGACTCCGGCACCGGCAGCATTGCCGCGAACGACGGCGACGGCGACCTGCACGGCGAGCAGAGCAAGCTGGTCGCGATCTCCGACGAGGCGCCAAACGTCGACAGGGCGCTCGCCACCAGCCGCCCGGCGACCGCCGACGGCGCAGGCGGCGGGGACGACGTCTCGCCGAGACTGCGGCGGCGTCAGCGGCGGCGGCTGCTGGAGATCAAGAAACGTGGTCTGGAGGTCGAGGAGCAGACGCTGGCGCTGGAGCAGCGGCGGCTGAGGTGGGCCGCCGCGGACGCCGAGGCGCGCAGGGAGGAGGACGCGGAGCTGGAGAAGATGCGGGTGGAGAACGGCGTGGCGAGGGCGGAGAACGCGCGGCTGTGGAGGCGGCTGCTCCGGCGGCGGCGGGAACGGGAGCTCGGCGTCGGCGGCGTCAGGTCGAACAAGTGTCGCGACGGCGCTGCAGCAATGGAAGGAGAAGAGAAATCTGTACCGTAGTGTCATATGTTTCTTTTCTCAATTTTTTTCTTTTTCTTTTTTCTCTGAATTCTAGAAAAAAATTGTTGATGTTTTTTTTCTCCTCGAATTCCTAAAAAAAACAGGTTTAACCATCACCATTATAATAAAATTTGATAACTAAAAAAAAGTACTCCTAAATCTATGTCAGAATTTGATATATCCATATTCATTTACCCTACTTAAAAATTGGTAGTACCGAAATTCATTAAGGCCTTGTTCGGTTTAGAGGGGATTTATTCCACACCACAGGTGTGGAATTATTCCCCTCCAATCCCTCTCTCACAGAGATTAAACTGGACAAGGCCTATTGGAAATTAAACATGCCATGTAGCTATAGAGTAACTCTGGGTGAAATAATTATACAAGCTTGAATGTGCAATGATGCTTTATAAATGCTACTACCTCCTTGTACAAATGTATGACGAACCAACGTCAAACGTAAAAAAATGGAGGGAGTATTTACTTATGTTGTTTATATGTATTCTCTTGTGGAATCTCTTAGCATGTAGGTTCAATGTTTCCTTCTTCTTAGGGATATTGTTTCCCACTTTGTACTTTGTATGTAGTTTGTTTGTGTGAACTACTCCTTAAACCATAACCAATTTTAAATTTTAAGTTCAATTTTATAATTAATTTTGTTCATTGCTTCATCAATCAATCTTTTTTTTGATCCCTAAGAGTAATATAAGTACAAAAGTTTGTACTGAATTATGGTCGGAGGAGATAACTGACCTTTAGGGACATACATGAAAATCATTGGTACAGCTACACGAAGGCCTTTTTAAAAAAGTTTTAAGCCCATGGATCATCTGCTACCATATGGAGTATTTTTCAGGACACATTCCGTGTAGTTTATTCGGCCCAGATTCCACCAAATCTCTTATTAATGGTGCAAAGTTAAAAATAAAACATTGGCTCACAATCATAAAAGTAAAAAGGAAAAAATAGACAAGCAGTGATTATAAGCCATAATCATATGAGAATAAGTATAATGTCTACGAAACACTCTTCCCACCTTCAACTAGTATTACGTGCTTGGTTCCTAGAGCTTGCTAGAAGTAACAATTGCGCCAACGTCAACCGCCCACCCAAAATAAGCCAGAAAAGAAGCCCGCCCACCCAAAATAAGCCAGAAAAGAAGCACTCATATTTTGTGGTCACGACAAGAGGTGTCCACCTGTCGACCTAGCTACTTCTAAATGATCGCCATCAACCTTATATCGTAACAAGTTCAATAACTTGCTACGTAACCCCACCCCCTCCCATCTAGATGAAAGGGGCTCAATACCGAAGACCTAGAACTCCGGTGAACCAATCACCGTTTGTTACTAATCCACAATCATTGAGGAGAGGGAGTGGACCTATGACGTTGACCAGATCCAATCTCACTTTGACTTGCCATAAGGAGTAAGCCATATAATAGAGAATCCTCCAAGAAGCCTTGGACCCTCGGTTTGGAATAGTTCTCCCTCACAGTTCTCCTCATGCGCCATTGTCCGACAGTTGAATAGAGAACACACTAGCTGGATATCACAAAGTTGTCACGATTCTTCCTTTTTACCCCTACGAGTTAATTTATATTACAATAAAACTTGTGAAATTCAGCCTCTTGTTATAGGTGGAATTCGTTTATACCTCGCGTACATCGTGCTTCTAAAATTCTCACCAATTAATTACTACATTCGTCATCCGTTATATTTTGAGACGGAGAAAGTAAATTTTTTAATGTAATCCTTGTATCTCTGTAACCTTTGTTCTTAGCACAGCTAATTTTGTCCGTTAGCTCTGTGTACATTTTTTTTAGAGGAAGCTCTGTGTACAGTTGGTTTCTTGCCTACCCGTTTTTTTCCAGGCCGTACGTGAAAGTTGCAACTCATCTATATATCCTCCATTTGCACGCAAAAAGCATACATACTCGCACACGGTTCCTCTTTCGTCCTCCACTAGTAGCATTTTCTATTTATGATCGAGTGAATTCATCCACAGATAGGACTTTCTCTTTTGTCTCTAGCCTTAGCTAAAAGTCTAAAGAGCCTCATCTTTTCGTTTATGCTTATACTTATTTACTAAAATTTAAATTTTCAACCTTAAATTTAAAGATGATTTTGGGCATTTTCTATTTATGATCGAGTGAATTCATCCACAGATAGGACTTTCTCTTTTGTCTCTAGCCTTAGCTAAAAGTCTAAGAGCCTCATCTTTTCGTTTATGCTTATACTTATTTACTAAAATTTAAATTTTCAACCTTAAATTTAAAGATGATTTTGGGTTCTTTCATCGAAGTTTATTTTTCAGCCTTTATTTTTAGATCGCTAAGACATATATAAAAATTTTATTCACAAATTATTTTTCGTTTACAAATATGTCGTTTGGGGGTGTAAGATCGATCGAGTAGTTTTTTTTAAAAAAACAAAAAACTTGAGTAAGCTAGCTAGGCAGGTGGATGTTGTATTGTACCGGTGTTTGGTGCCTGACGATTTAATGCGAAAGCTAGCAAGACGACCAATCCTTCCACCCTGCTTTTGTCGCCATGGATGATGGTACTACTTAGATGACGATCACTGATATTTTGTCCCAGCTCAAATTTTCTACGTGCTCTATTCACGGATATTGTTTATGTCTTATGTCTATCACGCCATGGATGGAGTACGAGTACCAGATATTGTTTGTCTAGTACTGATTATAGTTTCTAGCCATGCATTGTTTATCATCTTCAGGCCCCAATTGATTTTTACGAAAGACATAAAAATTTAAAGGATTTTAATCGTTTAGAAAGAAACTACAATAAAGATCTTTGAAACAAAATAACTGAATCATATCATTTCCTTTATAACTCCTATGAAATAGATAATCCTACGAATATTTTGAAACAAAGTTAGCAAAAACTTCAATCTCTTCAAAGATACCCCTCCGTTTCAAAATGTTTGACACCGTTGACTTTTCAGTACGTGTTTGACCATTCGTCTTATTCAAAAAATTTAAGTAATTATTTATTCCTTTCATATCATTTGATTCATTGTTAAATATACTTTCACGTACACATATAGTTTTATATATTTCACAATTTTTTTTTAATAAGACGAACGGTCAAACATGTGCTTAAAAAGTCAATGGTGTCAAATATTTTGAAACGGAGGGAGTATTCATTTTAGTCTTTTTCTCTCACCCGATTTTTGTTTTTCTTTTACCTAATCAGACTATAATTCTTATGTTTTTCTGTGTTGTAGATAATCCTACAAATATTTTGAAAGAACGTTAGCGAAAACTTCTATCTTTTAAAAAAATATTTATTTTAGTCTATTTCTATCACTCGATTTCTGTTTTTCTTTTACCTAATGAGACTATAATTCTTATGTTTTTCTGTGTTTGTACATTTATATTCATGTGTTTTTTTGTTTAAAAGAGCACTTAGTTTTGTAGCTACAGTAACATGCATTCTCCCATTAAATGTTGGCCGGTCACCAAAACGGAATCGAGCTTCATGCCATAAGAAGGAAGCCGGCCGGAAGCGTAGTAAATGTGTACGTGCATCCATGGACTTCACCTGTAGTGCTAGAGCGTACGGTGAGAAAAACCGGGTGAGATGTTTTTTTTTTTTGCGATGAACAGGGATATATTACTCATGCTCAGCACCCAACAGGTGAGTGATAAAATTATAAGCCAGAAAGTGGTTAGAGCCTCGCTACGCCCTTTATAAGCCAGGGCATGGCTGACACTATTTTGGTTACGGTGAATCTTCATGATAACAATATCTCTATTCCCAGCCATGAGGTGCCAATATCCCTATTCCCAACCATGAGGTGCTTTATCTCCCTAGCTAGGAAAACTAGCTCTGATCGTTCCTCCTCCTTTGACTGGATGAGTTGAATTGCCTGTAAGCAGTCAGATTCTATGATGAGATGGTAACAGCGGCGAATCTAGAAATTTTAATTTGTAAGCCTGAGCAAGCCTAAGAAGATATAATCATGTATTTCCCCGCAAAAAAAATATAATCATGCATATAAAATCCACACAACTACATATAGATAGGGTTATATCGATTAATATATATAGTATGGGAGACTTAGGCTGTGTTTGAGAAAGGAGAGATAGAGAAGATTGGGAAGATACGCAAAACGAGGTGAGCTATTAGTGCATGATTAATTGAGTATTAATTATTTCAAATTTCAAAAATGGACTAATATGATTTTTTTAAAGCAACTTTCCTATAGAAATTTTTTACAAAAAACACACCGTTTAATAGTTTGGGAAGCATGCACGCGGAAAACGATGTGTAATCTATCTCCAGTCTCCCAGAACGAACGCTGCCTTAATATATTGTTGCGTTAGCCTCTAATCACTTTGCTAATTGCTTTATTAATCAAGCAGGGTACGTGCTAGTACAGAGGGCGGAGCCCGGGCAAGTGCCCGTACGTGGTTCCACTTCCGCCCCTGGATGTACACTTGTACGTGCAGAAAGCTGGCTGCCCATGCGTAAGATTGCTCATCTCCGCTAGCTTTGGCTAATCGCCCCCACACGCGCGCGCCCCCGCCCGCGCCGAAGCCACAAGAAACGTGTTTGCATGCAAGGCCAGGCCAGGCCAAGCGAGGCCGCGCGCGCGCATCAGCTCGCGACGCGAGCCACCTGTGCCGCTGTGCGCGCGCGCCGCCTGGCGCCACGCACGCCATGCACGCGCGCGTGGGGTGGAAGGGTGAACTGGAGAGGAGAGCGGCGTCGCACTCGTGAAAACCGAAACGGAGACGAGACGGGACGTACGGCTTGGCTTTGCCTACTACTGCTGCTGCTGCTCTGCTCTCTCCTCTCTCTCGTGAGCAAGCGTAGTAGCCTCGCTCTCTCTCGCAGCCGCGCGCTTGGTGGGAGGGGGGGATTGGGGATGATGGGGAGCGAGTCGGGGAGGGCGGTGGCGGCGATGGTGTCGCTGCAGCTGCTCTTCTCGGCGCTGCAGGTCTTCATCAAGCTGGCGCTCAACGACGGCATGGACGCCCGCGTCCTCGTCGCCTACCGCTTCATGTTCGCCGCCACCTTCCTCTGCCCCATCGCCTTCCTCCGAGAGAGGTCAGGTCACATCCCATATACTACTATGCCCCCACTGTCCTAACCTGCTTTCTTGCTCTTGTTCTTCTGGGGGAAAAAAGCTCGAATTAATACCGGAATGCATGTGCATGCTCTGTAGTGTATCTGTGTATACTTGATGATTGTTAGTATTTGATAATCTCATGTCTCACATGATTATTAGTGCTTTCGTTTACTTGATCGATGATCATGGGCTTATTGAAGTTTAGTTACAGTGCACTTGACGTCTCAGAGTAGACTAAGCTTGGTTAACGATCAAGGGTTTTTTTAAGTTTTCTTCTTTCTTGTTCATAAATGTATTTTTCTTTCTTCTTTATGTACTATTAGTTACGTGCATGTAGTTCCAAATAAAAGGGCTAGCTCTTAGACGTTTCTCAACTAGATCGATCTGGCCTTGCTGAAAAACCAAGCGAACTAAGATTTTATCTAAAAGTTCGGGTGAATTGATCTCTCCATGTCAAATATCCAAGTGATCTTTACGGGGCTTGCTTCCTTAATTTGTACTCTGCTTTCTTGTTTACTTGTACCAACTATCTTACAATTTATAGTCACCTGCAATTTTCTTATCTTTCTTCTGTCTAATTTTGCACATCACTTATCCTTAGTTGCAGTGCTGATTAAGTAGTATGCAATTTTTTGCTGTCTTTGTTGCAATTTTAGTTTGTGTCTAAAGAGATCCAACTAGGTTTTCTTAACGTTTTCTGCATCATGTAAGGGGTTCAACAATCCATTTCTAGGCCTAAATATATAATTCATGCTGATCTCATCACTAACAAACATATTATCTGAGTTGTTGGCTGTTAATGTGGTAGTTGAAAATGATGAGTGGTTGAAAATTATGACTAGCTATACTGAAGTAGTAAAGCAAACATTTTTCTTTCTTTTTTTATCATCCTGCGGAATAAGAATGAAGGAAAAGAAACCATTTTAGAAATTCTATATGTAACATATAAACCACTCCAAGATTAATAGAACATTGAGTAATCATGTATTTGACTTTTACATGGCGAGTTAAAGGCACATTGCACCTAACGACTTTTATTTGTTTGTTAGATTCTGCAATTAGTAATGATAAATGTTCTGTTGTTCAGGAAGAAACGACCGCCTCTAACCATGAAGGTGGTGCTGCAACTATTCTTGTGCGGGTTGTTTGGGTAAGTACTTGCTATTATAATTCCTAAGTTAAACTCTTATTTCAGAAGTTATCTTTTTGTACAAACAGGTCAATATCCCCCCCCCTCTTTTTTTTTGCTTGTAATTGCCTCTAACTGATGTTTTTCAACACAACTACATGTTAATTCAAAGCTTCTTTATTAGAAGCTCTGTCATGTTGAAGGTATATAAAAGAAAAGTCATGCTGATTGATCAGAAACAGATATTGAATATATATGAGTGTTCACTTTTCCTTCTTTATGTTTCCATGAAAAAAATAAATTATGTGTTGTGCATTGGTGAAAGGCACTTGCTTCATGTTAATCCAGTTATTAGCCTTACTGTGTAAGTAGTAGTAGAACAATGAATGTTTATCATTTGACAGCAGTGTGCCCCCAATTCACCATATACTGCATCACAACTTATATGGTATATCAACTCTTAAATATTTCTTGGTACTCCGTAAATATTTTTCCAGTGATTCTGATAACCAAAGTTCAAATGCAGAGTTCCATAAACATTTGTGTAAAATGGATATATTAGTAGTCAGGAGGTTCAGGGTCTATGTTCATATTTCCTTGGTACTCGCTATATATTTGACTAGGAGCCAAATGAAGATCTTACACTATGTCAAAAATTGAGTAGCCGAGTTGCCTCAACAATTTCATCCAGATGTAAAATCTTGAAACAAACGAAAGAAATTTATAAACTACACCAAGAATAATAAAACTTGAAAATTACTTCCTTCAAAATAAATGATGCATTTACCAATTTTTTTTTCTGTATTAGATGTGTTGACCACAATAACTTTTGTGTCCAACTGCATACACAAGGATCATGTTGATCTCGAAGCCGTCACCTGAGAATAACTAGATGACATGGCACACGTTGCAGCAGGAATTTTTGTGCCACGGCAGGAATTTTTTTGCATTGCATAAAGTGCGATGGTTACATGAAATTGGAACTAAAGCAAAAAAGTATAACCTTTTAGAGGAATAGAATAAAGGAAATGGGGATTTTTGTTAGGTACAAACAACCAAGAGGTTGTATAACTGCTAAATCTGGACACAAAGTGAAAATCACATATAGAAAACAAAAAATGAAGTTACTTACCTTCATTGATCAAGAATTATCCTAACAAAATATATGCAGGCATGTAGCAAAATGAATAAGTCCACTAGCACGGACTATGAAAGACCTTGATCAGATCGGTGGTATTGGGCTGTCTAAAGACGAGGCTTGAGGGGATTAATCCAATGGTGAAATTCTTATGGTGACGTGGCTTCATGTGGTGCTTGTTTTATAACAATAAATGACTTGTAGTGGGTACCAATTATATAGGTAGTAAGGATAGGCCCGCACAACACATCACAATTAGTTTCCCTTCTAAATTCCATAGGAATTGCCATACTCTGACTACCCATGAATCGTGTTGAATTCACAATTCACATGGTACGCACAGGTTGTCATGAAGATGGTAATTGCTGGACACACTCATCAATTTAGGGGCATCATACTACAACTTGTGCTCTACTAACACTAGATTTCAGCAAAGGTTGGTATACGCATTCACTCCCTGGGAAATTTTGGTTGTTACATATGGCCTTCGATTACATGTTTATGTTTCAACCAATCAATTAGTAGACCACTGGCTTACATTTTGAAGCTATATCGAAACGAAACAAGCTTAACATTGTTTCTCATGCCTAAATGGCCCAATAGACCTTCCTAAAGCCTGAGCACCTAGTTATGTCCTTGACAACCTGGCTAGATTGCCTAATTGGGATAGGCATAGTCAAGGCAAACTGTTATCACAGAAAAAAACTTTGGTTAATTCAAAATATCTCCGAATGTGGAAGGGTCCCTTTGTTGTGCAATATCCTTCATCTTGAATGGCATTACTTACCTTTCAATGTTTGTGATTTCCAATAATTTAGTGTAGTACTCATTATATTTAGGAATTTAAAGCTTCCTGTTGCTCAACCGAAAACTCATCGAACATCTTTAGTACAGTAAAAGTGCATGAGATCCTCTGTGCAATCAGTGTGGAACACAAATATTGAGGATGATATTAACCATGGCTTGGTAGTTTTTCTTTCTTTCTCTTATGTAGATTACTCTGGATAATATGTGCTACTTACAGATTTTCTTTCTTTCTCTTATGTAGATGACTGTTTTTCTGATTACACACTTGCAGATTTTCTATAAACCAGAATCTCTATGTGCTTGCTATAAAGTTGACTTCAGCAACATTTATTACTGCTATCAGCAACCTGACACCAGCAACCACCTTCCTTCTTGCTATATTGACCAGGTTACGGATTTACCACTTATAGCTTATATGTTTAATTTCAAGGCATACAGAGATACTCCAGCTTATATCTCTGACTATTTCTGTCTAATATTATCACCTTTGAATATATATTACTTCAAGAACTGGCTAAAAGTATGTTGAATTTCAACTACAACAGTTATGTAGGAGTATTCTTTCAGCAGCCAGAACAGTTTATATTTTCCGTCTTATTTGTAAAAAAAATATGGATATAACAAAGCCATAATTTTTAAGGGTTAACATTAGTTTCCATACTGAACAAAACAACAGGCTCGAGACCTTAAAACTTAAGAAACCTGCTGGACAAGCAAAACTTCTAGGAACACTTGTAGGCATGGGTGGTGCAATGTTGCTTACATTCTACAAGGGACCAAAGATCATGGTACTCGACCAACTTCCCCATCCCAAATTTGCCCACCTCACTGAAAATCCCCAGTCGCACCCAATATCGACGGGCAATCAAATTATAGGATCGTTCCTTGGTATAATCAGCTGTTTCACCTACGCGACATGGCTAGTCATCCAGGTCATAATCTTACACTTAGTTTCTTCTTTCAACAGTGCGCCCACTCAACTGTTGCAGTTCTAATGTTTGGTATTGATGCATTTTTTTTGCCATTTACAGGCGAAAGTGAGCAAGGTTTACCCGTGCCACTACTCGATCGCTGCAATGGTGTGCCTCTTCGGCGCACTTCAGTCCACGGTAATGGCACTTTGTGTTCACAGGGACATGGAGCATTGGAGGTTAGGACTTAACATCAGGCTCTACTCATCGGCTTACGCGGTACGCGGTTCATCCGGCATTTCATATTTTTCATGGTAACAGCATGATCGATCCTTACATTTGTTCCGAGTCTAATGAGGTTAGCACCCTTGTTGATTCAACCAGGGACTCATAGCATCAGGCTCCGCGTTCCCTCTGCTGTCGTGGTGCCTGCGGAAGAAAGGCCCCCTGTTCATCTCCGTGTTCAGCCCGCTGATGCTCATCTTCGTCGCGCTGATGAGCTCGATCATTCTCAATGAGGCGTTGCACCTCGGAAGGTGATGGCCACCATTTCCTTTCTGGATTCATGCATTGCAGTTCAATGTGTAATGTGGACACCAATTTTCTCATGGCGAGTTCTTGTGTTGTTCTGCTGTAATGCAGTGTGCTTGGTTCTGTCCTGATTGTGGGTGGCTTGTACATGGTGCTGTGGGGCAAAGCGAAAGAGGCGGCTGATCTGTCTGAAGATGAAAATCAGGGCAAGGAATCCATCCCTGTGACCACTGGCGGTGAGAATGAAATGAAGTGAAGAGAGCATTGGGCCTACAGGTTGCTATTTGACAGAAATGACAGAAAGATATGATTCTGAAATTCTGATAGAAATATAGAATGTTCGGTTTGGATCAGGCATTGATGTTTCTACATCGATTCATCTCGTGTATTGTGGACGCTATCATTTGTCTGAATAGTCTGATACTGTTAATCTGTTATTGCCGTGGATTTGCTGCTATTCCCAGATTTGCCTTTTATACCCTGTAATCTTATTAGAGCTGTGATTTTCATGCTACTCTCTTGATCAGGGGCGGTACCACCCATTAGGCGGGGTTGGGCGGCCGGCCCAGCTACGGCCCGCGCCGCTCTAACCCTCCATATCCTTCTTGGGCCGCCTACCACAACATCCAATTCACAACTGGCCCATAAATAAGCAGCCTAAGTGTCTAAATTAATCCTGCGTATATGATGCTTTCCTGAGTCAATTCCTCGACGCTGCTCACCCCCGCCCCCTACTATAGTTAGGTGCCTAATGTTTTTTTCTCTCTCTCCCTTCTAAGCAAAATAATAATCATTTTATTCTAGGTATGCGATATCTTCTCATATATTTATGTGGCGGTATGTCATGAGATCCTTCAACCAGACCTGCCGAAACCATGCAACCAGTAAGGGTTCAAGCCCAAGACGTCAAGTTCATCGGGGGCGAAGCCCCCCATGGCGAAGACTGTGAAGCAAAGACGGCGAAGGGTGAAGAATTGCGCTGGTATCCCACAAGGCTGAAGGCATCTTGGGCGAAGACTATACGGCGAAGAGTGTATGACGAAGGAAGGTGACTTCGCCATAACGAGTCCAGCTTCAAGAAGACCCAAGAGGCCATCCCAGCCGCTCAAGCCCGGTGGCCATTGGGCCAACGTTCGCCAGTCGGCCCTTTAGAGGCCCATATACCTCAATTACACTGTATACCCATGTAAGTGTCCCTTTCATAAGGGCAACCATGTAAATTCCCCTGTAAAACCCAAGCCCTAATAGGGAACATGTAATAAGATTATAAATAGACCCCTAGGACATGTAAGAGGGGGATCCCCAAGAAAAATTCAAAAGATAATACACTTCACCGTTTCCAACAACTGTTGAGTAACCACGTCCTTCGACGTACGCAGTTGTCACTTCGACAACAACTGGCGCCGATCGTGAGGAGGCGAACTGGCGCCTGGGTGGATATATTCATATATTTATTTTTTAAAAGATATCTATCAACCATGCTTTATGAATTGACTCATATTTGCAAATTGATATGTTTACTAGTATCTTTTTATGTATGATGAATTATGTATGGCGCAAAAATTATTACTTTATTTTAATATCATTTTTGTTTTTTGTTTGTTTTAATTTATTGATTATACTATATGTTTATATGATTACAAACATAAATATGGTATTTGTTGTGTTTAGTTGCTCTTTATCAAGCATTTTTTTCAGGAATCTCAGAAAGGGATTCAGTGAACAGAGAGCACTAGTCTCTGACAGAATGCATGGGGATTACTGTTTTTACAAACGCATGGTTAGGACTTCGAGCAATCTACAGAGGAGAAAGCAGTAAACACTAGTGATTACAATAGTAAAAAAGAACTATTACTACTAGTTGTACTTCTACTCTACTACCAGAGAGCCGAAAAGAACAGCATCATGACGAGAGGAACGGCGAGCTGCACCTGCACCGTCCTGGCTCGAGGCAGGGTGCCCATCCCCACGGCCTGCAAAAGGCGTCACCACCAACCAATGGAGCAAATTGCAAAAGTTCGTCGTCAGTCAGAGAGCGAGCTACTAGGCTAGAAAAAGGTATGATGGATGCAAAGGGAAAAGGAAAAGTAATATGAGCTCGCAAAGATGCAGCAAGAAAGCTCTGAGAAAAAGGTTTTTGGGGAGTTACAAGAAACTAAAAGAAATGAAATGAATCAGATGTTTGCTGGGTTGCTTTGGAGTTTATCAGAGGAGGAGATGGCATTGGCATCCAAAGAGGTGATGAACAGTTGTTTGATTGGTTGGTTGGTTGGTTACCTGCTGCTGTTCCTGGCCGGGGGTGGGCATGGGCAGGACGGTGGCGGAGTCGGTGACGCCGGCGGGGAGCGGCACCGCCGGGCTGCTGCTGATGAAGGCCGTGCTCGTGCTTGCCGCCGCGGGGCAGGCGACGGCGCGCCGGCGTTGGCTTCAGCACCCGCATTGCCTCCGGGAAGCGCGCCGCGCGGGCTCCGCCGCTCAGACGGCAGCGTCGGCATGTCGCCGCCGCCGCCGTCGTCCGAGCCAGGCAACGGCGGTATCGCCGGCGCGGGCGCGGGCGCCCCGAACGGAGCCGGCCGCGGCGAGTAGTCCGGCACCACGACCGTCATCGGTACCTTCTCCTCGCCGTAGCCACCGCCGCCGCGAAGCTAACGGCAAACGCGACACGGCGCGGTCAGTAATGTGACTGCAAGTGATCAGAACACCCAAACCAACACAACACTACACGCACGCGCGCCAACGCGCACTTACCTGTTCGACGTACGCGCCCGCGCCGCGCAGGTGGAAGAGCGCGCGCGCCGGCTGCACGGCGGCGAGCGAGCAGCACAGCAGCAGCAGCAGCAGCAGAGGCAGAGCCGAACCGCCTCGCATATCTTTCCTCATTCCTCGATGCTCCTCCGGTGTCCGGTGGTGGCGCTCGTCCGAAACCGCACGGAGGGAAGGACGCCCGTGACTTTGTAGCGCGCGCGGGTGGTGGTGCGTGTGCCGTCGGCCGGTCTGCCCGTGTGCAGTGGACACAGCGTCACAGTGCGTGCACCGGGTCGCTGCAGGCTACAGTACAGTGCAGCGCGAAACAGCAAAAGAAAGCGACAGTGGATTTTAAACTCTCCAGAGAAACGGTATTACCTTCTTTGCGTATCAAAAGTTTGGAAGTTTGCTTGAAATTGGAACTATGTGACAGAAAAGTTGTTTGGGTATGAAAGGTTTGATGTGATGGAAAGTTAGAAGTTTGGAAAAAAAAACTTTCAAACTAAACAGGACCTAAATAGTTATGAAAAAATAATAAAAACATGTAGATATACTTTACAAATAGTATACAAGTTTAAATTCAGCTTCTACATGTAATAAAAATAGTATTAAACGCCTGCATAGAGTATTAAATATAGGCTCTATGCGGCTAACTCTAATGGTACATATTGCGACTAATTTGCGAGACAAATCTTTTAAACCTAATTGCTCCATGATTTAATAATGTGGTGCTATAGTAAACATTTGCTAATGACGAATTAATTAGGCTTGATAAATTAGTTTCGCAGGTTTATTGACGTATTCTATAATTAGTTTTTTTATTAGTGCCCAAACACCCCTGCGACAACCTATATAATATCCGATGTGACGCACTAAAACTTTACATCCCTGATCTAAACACCCCTTAGGCTCCCAGTATGTAAAACGAAGCAGCGTTTAACGCGTGATTAATTAAGTTTTAGGAAATTTTTTTTCAAAAATAGATCAATGTGATATATGGAAACAACTTTCGTATATAAACATTTTGCAAAAAACAAACCGTTTAACAGTTTGAAAAGCGTGCGCGTGAAAAAACGAGGAGAAGAGGTTGGTAACCTAGACAAACGAGCTGAGGTTTAATCTTTCTTGTTAAATTTTTTCAATCTTTTAGAGCAAGTTTAATAGTATAGCCAACTAATAGCTCTAATTTATCTATAACCAATCTAATAGCTCATTTATACAATAGTTACATACTACACTATTAATACATAGTCCCACCTATCATACACACATTGTGTCTTAAAGTCTGTGCTACAACTGGCTATAAATGTTACCCGTTGTTTTTCTCTCTTCTCATTTATCTTCTTAAAATATGTTTGTAGCTGTCTTATAGCCTGCTATTGTACCTGCTCTTAGGGCACCCACAATGGTTATCTATAAGCTATCTACAAGAGAACCATGTCAGCATATTTTCCTACTTGGAAGATATTAAATGGAGAGAGGGAGCAAAGCTATCTACTAACTTAGAGATAGTCTATAGAGAAAAACGAGACAATGCATAAGAGAGCTATACATACCCATGCTAGACATGCTATTGAGGTGATTTATTATTAATCTAGTCTATTGCTGAGATGTATATGTTTTATAGAGAGCAACTTACTTTATTATTGCGGGTGCTCTTATTATAATAGAATAGTTACCATAGAAAGCGGAAAATGCGAAGCAAAAAGGGCAGGAAAGGACGGGCTACGGGGGCTAGGCGGCCGGCCGGGCGGTGTGTGTTGGCTGGGCGAAACAAAAGGCTGCGACAGATAAAGCGGCTACCTTTTCTCGGGCGTGGTGGCGGCAGCAGCAAAGGAGGAATCCACCGATAATTGAAGCATCGATGGGTGGGGGGTGGTGGCGCGGCCACAGGAGAAAGTGGACACTCCAACACGACACTCCAAATGGTCAAAACCCTCTCTCTGTGCGTTGCCGTTGTTGCCAGGTTCCCCCTCGATTCGATCGATTGATTGACCCTCCCCTCTTCCTCCTCTCTCCTCACTGGTGCACAACTGCACACCGCACAGTGAGCCCCCTGTACAGCTTGGGGCTCTATGAAAAAGATGAATCGATGGCGTCGCGACAGTGCTTGCACTCCCTCAACATTTGGGGCTCTTAGGAATAAGTCTACTTTGCCTCCCTTTACAAATGGGTCCGGTTAAAACACACCCATCAACCATAAAACCGGGTATAACCCATCCTCTAACTTACAAAACCGTTGCAAATCAACTCCCTCAGCGATTTCGGAGGCAGTTTCGTTCTACGTGGCACTTACGTGACGGTTTGACTTAGTATTTATCCCATGTGGCATCGACATATCGCTCAAGTGGTACTAAAATAAAAACAAACCTAAATAAAAAAATAAATTTTGGGCACATTTGTCAGTTCTTCAGCTCCTCTCTCTTCCCTCTTTATACTCGACGTCGATTGAGATGGAGAGAGCAGGAGCAGCGAGAACTCGGCGGAGCGACGGGAGCAGCAGGACAGCGGGTTGATGGCAGCATCGACGGTGTTGGTGTCAGCAACCGGGAGCTCGGCAGAGTGGCTTGGCGGGAACAGGGAGAGAGCAGAGGTGAGGAAGCCTCGCCGCCGCCTCCTCTCCTCTCTCCTTGCCTCCCCCCCGGTGTCACCGGCAACGAAATGCGCGTCATCGTTGTGGCAGGGATTGAGGTGGAGGCGGAGAACAAGGTCGGTGTTGGGAAGGAGAGCGGAGGAGAGGAGGCAACGACAGCGATATAGGGAGCTGGTGAACATGAGAGGGTGCTGAGCCAGCATGGGGAGTCGTTCCCTTTGCCGAGATCGACGCCGCCGTGTATGCACGCCATTTGCAGGGGATAGCTCATCCGATGACCTAGCCGTCGAACTCGGCGGCTTCCACCGTTGTCCTCGCCCTCTACCATGCTCTGTCTCGCCGCCGCTGCCATCCACTGTCGTCTGCCGGTTGATGCCATTCACCACCCACCTTAGAAAGAGAAAGGTTAAAGAGGAGAAAAGGTAGCTGACACATGGACCCTAAATTTATTTTTATTATTTTATTCATTGACATGTGGGTCCCATTTAAGGTTTGTTTTAATTTTAGTGCCATGTAAGCATCACGTTGATGCCACGTGGTATAAATACCAAGTCAACCCGCCGCATAAGTGTCACGTAGGACGAAACCGTCTCTAAAACCACTTGGGGAGTTGATTTGCTATGGTTTTGAGTTGGAGGATGAGCTATGGTTTTGAAAGTTGGAGGATGAGTTATACCCGGTTTTTCGGTTGAGGGATACTATTCAACCAGGGGTATGAGATGAGGGAAGCAAAACAGACTTATTTCGATACTCTTATGGCGGATCAATACTATATCATTAGGGAGTTTGGGACTTTGGGTTCGGGCGCAGCACGGCAGTAATCATCTTCCTGATCATACAGCCCAAGGGAAGAGGAGCCCATGTGTAATCCCCTAGCCCAACTAACCGGCCGGGCCTTTGTTGGGCTTGGCATAGTGTGATGGGCCAGACCAGTTACGACCAAATCCAACCAGGGCCCTCACATCCTGTTTTGAACTTAGGCAGGTTTAGCATAATTTTCTCGTACCCTCGTAGTATGGTAGTTTGTTCGGATAAGATCACAAGACTGCATGGTTCGTGGTGAATTTGCATACAAGGCCAACAAAAGAGGAAAATAAAATCATGCGAGTAGTCTCTCATGCTAATGAGCCGTTTGTGATTAAAAAAAAGAAAAAACAAATATCGATCCATATGGTTCACGATTACAAATGGGAGGTTAATTTTCTCTAAAAAAAACGCTATCATATACTCCCTCTGTACCAAATTATAAAGCCTATATTTTTTATACAGTCTTCAATGACATATTTTGACCATTAACTTATGACATGTTATATTTTTAACAAAAATAGAATATAAATCTAGTGATATAACATGTATAATATTTATCATATATATGGTTAGTATAATTATTACACAAAATTATCAAGTTTAATTTTTCTTAAAAAGAGCGCGCCATATAATTTGGGACGGAGGTAGTATAATTTCCCAATTTGATCATCTCTCAAAATCGATCTACCCGGTACACCCATGCTGCTCCGCCTCGTCCGCCCTCTACTCCGCCGCCATGCACGCGGCGGCGGCGCCGGCGCCGCCGCGAGCTCTCCGACATCGCGTACGTACGCCTCGGCCACCGGAAGCACTAGTGGCCATCTCTACTTGGTGCTGGATGACTGGAAGGAGGGGTACAGCCTGCACAAGCTCGATCTCAATGCCAACTCCGGCGACGGCGGCGACGACCCTTCCCCGCCGCGGCGCCTCCCCGCGCCTCTCCTCCGGCTAGGTTTCCGGACGCTCGGCTCGTGGCCGCACATCAGCGCCCTAGGCAGCAAGATCATCTTCATGGGTCAGCGCCGCCCAGATCAGTTCCGTGTCGACGGCGGCGGCGGCGACGGCGGCGCCTCATCCTCGTCTACGACACGGCGACGGCGGCGGTGGACTGTCTCGCACCATCTCCCGGACGACATGCACCTGGTGACCAGCTACGACGCCGTGGCGGACGCCGGGAAGAACAGGCTCTACCTGCTGCTGCCTCAGTTCGAGCGGTCGCCGTCGCCGTCGCCGTCGCCGGAGCCGCCGCGCCGGCGGCCGCCATGGCCAGGGGCGCCAGAACGCGGCGTGGACATGGCGCCCTACCCCTACGTTGAGAAAGTGGAGAGGGTGAAGGCCGGGACCAGGCTCTACTTGCTGCTGCCTGATCCGTTTGATCAGCGGTCGCCGGAGCCGGGCCGCGCCGCCGTGGGCATGCCCTACCTTGAGAAAGTGGAGAAGGTGTACCCCAAGGAGGAGGAGGAGAAACCGGCGGCGCGCGGCGGCCGTGGAAGGTCGTACGGCGGCGCCGGCGACGACAACGACGACGACGAGAAGGACAAGTACTACCGCAACAGATTGACCGAGCGGTGGTCGTGGCGGACCAGCACTTCGCCGCCGCCATTCTCCGGCGGGAGGCGCATCACGGGGCACGCGCTGCACCCCGACGGCCGCACCATCTTCGTCTCCGTCGAGAAGACCCACGCCCGCCGCCATCCCGGCGACGAGGACGACGAGGAGGACGGCACCTTCTCCTACGACACCGAGCGCGGCGGCGAGTGGACGCGCCGCGGCGGCTGGCGCCTGCCGTTCAAGGGCCAGGCGCACTACGACCGCCACCTGGACGCGTGGGTCGGGATCGGCGCATCCTCCTCCGGCGCCGGCGGCCACCCCCGCCTCGTCGCCTGCGACGTCGTCCATCTGTCTGACGCCGCCGACGACCCCGCGCCGCCGCCGAAGTGGA